ACACTCCTCTCCTGTACATACCGATCACTGTCACACCTCCACACTCCTCTCCTGTACATACCGATCACTGTCACACCTCCACACTTCTCTCCTGTACATACTGATCACTGTCATACCTCCACACTCCTCTCCTGTACATACCGATCACTGTCATACCTCCACACTTCTCTCCTGTACATACCGATCACTGTCATACCCCCACACTTCTCTCCTGTACATACCGATCACTGTCATACCCTCCACACTTCTCTCCTGTACATACCAATCACTGTCACACCTCCACACTTCTCTCCTGTACATTCCGATCACTGTCATACCCTCCACACTTCTCTCCTGTACATACTGATCACTGTCATACCTTCCCACACTCCTCTCCTGTACACACCGATCACTGTCATACCTTCCACACTTCTCTCCTGTACATACCGATCACTGTCACACCTCCACACTCCTCTCCTGTATATACTGATCACTGTCATACCCCCCACACCCTCTCCTGTACATACCGATCACTGTCATACCTCCATACTCCTCTCCTGTACATACCGATCACTGTCATACTGTCCCCCCACACTCCTCTCCTGTACATACCGATCACTGTCATACCTCCTCCACACTCCTCTCCTGTACATACCGATCACTGTCATACCTCCACACTCCTCTCCTGTACATACCGATCACTGTCATACCCCCCACACTCCTCTCCTGTACATACCGATCACTGTCACACCTCCACACTCTCTCCTGTACATACCGATCACTGTCATACCTCCCACACTCCTCTCCTGTACATACCGATCACTGTCATACACACTCCTCTCCTGTACATACCGATCACTGTCATACCCCCACACTCCTCTCCTGTACATACCGATCACTGTCATACCTCTGCACTCCTCTCCTGTACATACCGATCACTGTCATACCCCCCACACTCCTCTCCTGTACATACCGATCACTGTCACACCTCCACACTTCTCTCCTGTACATACCGATCACTGTCATACCCCCACACTCCTCTCCTGTACATACCGATCACTGTCATACCTCCACACTTCTCTCCTGTACATACCCATCACTGTCACACCTCCATACTCTCCTCTCCTGTACAAACCCATCACTGTCACACCTCCATACTCCTCTCCTGTACATACCCATCACTGTCATCATACCCCCCACACTCCTCTCCTGTACATACCGATCACTGTCACACCTCCACACTCCTCTCCTGTACATATCGATCACTGTCACCCCCACACTCCTCTCCTGTATATACTGATCACTGTCACACCTCCACACTTCTCTCCTGTATATACCGATCACTGTCATACCTCCACACTCCTCTCCTGTACATACCGATCACTGTCATACCTCCACACTCCTCTCCTGTACATACTGCCCCCTGTCATATCTCTCCATAAAGAGGACCTGTCACTAATTATGTCTCATCGTCCCCCCATATCTCCCCATAAAGAGGACCTGTCACTAATTATGTCTCACTGACCCCCCATATCTTTCCATAAGGAGGACCTGTCACTAATTATGTCTTATTGACCTCATATCTCTCCATAAAGAGGACCTGTCACTAATTATGTCTTATTGACCTCATATCTCTCCATAAAGAGGACCTGTCACTAATTATTTCTCATTGACCTCATATCTCTCCATAAAGAGGACCTGTCACTAAATATGTCTCATTGACCCCATATCTCTCCATAAAGAGGACCTGTCACTAATTATGTCTCATTGACCCCCCATATCTCTCCATAAAGAGGACCTGTCACTAATTATGTCTCACTGACCCCCCATATCTTTCCATAAGGAGGACCTGTCACTAATTATGTCTTATTGACCCCCATATCTCTCCATAAAGAGGACCTGTCACTAATTATGTCTAATTGACCCCATATCTCTCCATAAAGAGGACCTGTCACTAATTATGTCTCATTGACCCCCCCATATCTCTTTATAAAGAGAACCCGTCACTAATTATGTCTAATTGACCCCATATCTCTCCATAAAGAGGACCTGTCACTAATTATGTCTCATTGACCCCCCCATATCTCTTTTAAAGAGGACCTGTCACTAATTATGTCTAATTGACCTCATATCTCTCCATAAAGAGGACCCGTCACTAATTATGTCTCATTGACCCCCCCATATCTCTTTATAAAGAGGACCTGTCACTAATTATGTCTAATTGACCCCATATCTCTCCATAAAGAGGACCTGTCACTAATTATGTCTCATTGACCCCCCCCATATCTCTTTATAAAGAGGACCTGTCACTAATTATGTCTAATTGACCTCATATCTCTCCATAAAGAGGACCTGTCACTAATTATATCTTATTGACCCCCCCATATCTCTCCATAAAGAGGACCTGTCACTAATTATATCTCATTGACCCCCCCATATCTCTCCATAAAGAGGACCTGTCACTAATTATATCTCCTTGACCCCCCCCCCCCCCCCCCATATCTCTCCATAAAGAGGACCTGTCACTAGTTATGTCTCACTGACCCCCCCCATATCTCTCCATAAAGAGGACCTGTCACTAATTATGTCTCATTGACCCCATATCTCTCCATAAAGAGGACCTGTCACTTATTATTTCTCATTGACCTCATATCTTTACATAAAGATGACCTGTCACTAATTATGTCTTATTGACCCCATATCTCTCCATAAAGAGGACCTGTCACTAATTACATCTCATTGTACCCCCCCATATCTCTCCAGAAAGAGGACCTGTCACTAATTACGTCTCATTGTACCCCCATATCTCTCCATAAAGAGGACCTGTCACTCATTATTTCTATCACAGGGGATGCATGCATTCTTTGTGATAAGAATAAAAGTGATTACATATTTTTTTTAAGGGACAGTGCAAAGAAAAAACATTAAATAAATAATAAAAAAAAGTTTAAAGTGCCCCCATCTCCCCCGTGCTCGCACGTAGTGGGGAACGCATACGTAGGCCACGCCCACATATGTAAATGGTGTTTTCAAACCACACACGTGGGGTCTCGCCACAAACGTCGGAGCGAGATAAATAATTCTCGCACTAGACCTCCTCTGTAGCGTCACACTGCTAACCTGGAGACATTTTTAAAAGCATCACCCATGGAGATTTTTAAGTACCGCAGTTCCACGCCATTCCACGAGCGTACGCAATTTTAAAGCGTGACATGTCTGGTATCTATTTACTCGTCATAACATCCTCTTTCACATTTTACAAAGAAATTGGGGTATGTATTGTTTTTTTTTTTTTGTCTTTTTTAGTCTGTGTATTTGTTTCCAAAAAATATATATACATTTTTTTTAAAACTGCGCATGTCGGTTTCGGTTTTCGGCCAAGTGCATTTTGAATTTTTGGTTTCGGTTTCAGCACCAGAATTTTCGTTTCGGTGCACCACTAATTTTTTAAACGTGTGCAAAAAAAAAGCAAAAAATGGCCCCGGCAGCGAAAAAGGGTTAAATAAGAATAATTCAGCGACTAGATGCTTCCTTCCTTGAATGCATCCCACAGTTCCCTTTTAAATAATTAATTCCCAGGCTCCCCTACCAATCTGCCAGGAGGGTATTTTTGAATGCCGTAGTATAGAAGTGTATATATATATATATATATATATATATAAAAGTTCGTTTTCCAGAAAAAAGTGAATATTGATGAGCTCACCGCGATGTGACCACAGTACCTGTGACAGTCTCAGTCCTCCACCAGTCCTGGTCTGCAGGCTCAGCCGTCAATCCCCCCATCTCCTATAATCTTACATTCACTCCGCCTGGGGCTGGGACGCAACATATGAAACCGTGACACTAATAGAAGGGAACATATGAAACCGTGACACTAATAGAAGGGAACATATGAACCGTGACACTAATAGAAGGGAACATATGAACCGTGACACTAATAGAAGGGAACATATGAACCGTGACACTAATTAACCATAATGAATACGCTTAGATACTCGGAAGTTTCCAGGAGATGCAAACACATTACTTTGTCAACAAGAAGTTGCAGAAATGTCATAACAAAGTGACATCCAGTTATTATGTGCCGATTTTTTTTTTTTTTTTTTATTCAATTGCCGAAACCTTTCACAACATCCCGGGGGGGGGGGGGGGGGGGGGGGGGGGAATGAATAATGAAAAGTTGCACGTGGCCGGCACGGCTCATTTTGTGTCCTAAATTATGATTACATCTGACACATAATGAGGAAATGTTTTGTATCGGCAGATTTTACAGGAATGGCAGGTATTCCGCTGCTGGGGGAATACTAGTCTGTTTTGTTTCCTGACATAGAGAGGATCGGGACACCCCCTGCTCTGTGTATTGTGGCACCGATGGCTTTGTTTTTCCTGGTGTGAGATGCAGCTGACACGACCCAAACATAAATGAGTGCAGCGCAACCTAATGTGCAAAATTAGGAGATAAATACAGTAATCACAATCAAAACATACAGCAATAATTATAAATTAAAACATGTGATAAGAACAGCTCCCCGGGGGCGTGGTCACTCAATGGCGGAGCGAGGTCGTGCTTCTCCGGAGCTACAGTCTGGTCGTCTCTGCATCCCCAGCACCTCTATCATGCCTGAGGGGGCCAGGAAGCCTCAGGGTACAGGACCGGTGACCCGAAGCTCCCTGGATCTGGGCTTTTTGTCTCCCGGGAGCGGTGGGATCCGGAGCGCAGGAAGGGCTCAACATGGCACCTTTGGGGAACTGGGGGAGGGGGTACCCTAATTTGACAGGTACCTGCTCCCACTTCCGCTGCGATCGCCTAGACCAGTGTCCTCCAAACTGTGGCCCAGGGAGACAGATGCGGCCCTTTGTTTACTTTTATCCGGGGGTTCTATTTTCATTCACTGATACCAATGATGGGGCATCATTTCCAACACTGACACCAATGAAGGAGCAAAGCGAAACAAAAACGAGGAGCGCACCAACCTTGCGTATTACCGCAGTAACCAAAATTTGTTAATTACAAAATGATACTCACAAACAGCGAATAAAGCAAGCATGTAAGTCCTGAGGACTTGTATGCCTAAATTATTTTGCGGTTTGTGAGTATCATTTTGTAATTAATACATTTTGGTTACTAAGGTAATGCGCAAGGTTGGTGCGCTCCTCGTTTTTGTTTTGCTTTGCAGTATTGGTCGGGCTTCCCCAGCCTTGTTTGGTGCTGCACAACTCTATATGCACTGGTGGTCGATTTTCCAGTTCTGGTTCCATCCATCCGCCACCCGCCTGGGTCCTAGAGCGCAGGAGAATTCATTTCTGACCAATGAAGGAGCACAATTCCCCCCAACAATGGGGCCTAATAACAACAGTGGGGCACAATTCCTCCCACTGACACCAAGCCAGCAGACATGTAAAACTTTGCATAAAAAAGATATCACCAGCACACCGAGGATCACCAGTATGGGTCCAAAAGTTTTAATGAATGATCACATAGTTACAGCAAGGCAGCGTTTCACCGGACCCCTTCATCAAGCATGTGTAGTGGGAGGAATAGTGCCCCATCATTGGTGTCAATGGGAGGAATAGTGCCCCATCATTGGTGTCAGTGGGAGGAATAGTGCCCCATCATTGGTGTCAGTGGGAGGAATAGTGCCCCATCATTGGTGTCAGTGGGAGGAATAGTGTCCCATCATTGGTGTCAGTGGGAGGAATAGTGCCCCATCATTGGTGTCAGTGGGATGAATAGTGCCCCATCATTGGTATCAGTGGGAGGAATAGTGCCCCATCACTGGTGTCAGTGGAAGGAATAGTGCCCCATCATTGGTGTCAGTGGGAGGAATAGTGCCCCATCTTTGGTATCAGTGGGAGGAATTGTGCCCCATCATTGGTGTCAGTAGGAGGAATTGTGCCCCATCATTGATGTCAGTGAGAGGAATAGTGCCCCATCATTGGT